AGAGAGAGAGAGAGAGAGAGAGAGAGAGAGAGAGAGAGAGAGAGAGAGAGAGAGAGAGAGAGAGAGAGAGCAGGTTGCCTCTCCACCAAACTTGCACGGCGAGATGGTTTTGACCTGGGCCCAGCGCGTCGTTTCAAACCTCCCCGATCGTGGGTGCTCTTTCCATTCTACCTGGAATCAGTGCACCAGGCACCCCCCCTCCCCCCCGAACAACCCCCCAAACCAAAAATGGCCTGGATTGTTGAAAGCTTCCAGAGGCGGAAATCGCAACCCTGACGGGCTGCAAACTCAGGGGTATAAAATGCACTCAGGGGCATAGAATGCAATCCTGGCGGGCTGCGAACAGACCATTTTCCCCTACAGATGCAAGTTGGGCACTGGGACTGGGCACAAACGCAATTTTCCCTTCTTTTCCTTTTCCTTTTCCTTTTCCTTTTTCGGTACCGTAGCCTGTGCGACTCTGAGGGCCGACCTGCCCGGTCAGCGCATATTGTATATTGTATTACCCATTCCCCAGTACCTTACCGTATATTCACCCCACCAGGCTTGCAAGCTTCGCGGAGGGGTCTGACTGTGAGAAGGTGGTCAGCCATCTGCGACTGACGGCGGACCAGATGAAGTTGCAGTAATGGGAGCCCGTTTCGGGTAGACTGATGACGGCCCTGGATAGGAACTGGAGGTGGGAATGAAGTCATGAAGTCGCGGAGGGGGACCGAAGGGGACCAAGGGCGGCGTATCTCTCAGTCCCTACCGCCTGTAGCGACCAGCTGGCCGGGTGGATGACCGTTCGCGAGGCGCGAACGATAAAGACGTGTGTGCGGACATCGTTCTTCTGCGCTTCGTCGCCAAGAGAGAAAGCGAGAGGGAGGGAGGAAGGGAGAGGAGGGAGGGAGGGAGGGAGGGAGGGAGGGAGAGATTCGTCTGCGGGGTGAGGGGTGAGGGGTGAGAGGTAGAGGTAGATGCACAGGTAGAGAGAGAGAGAGCGAACGAGGACAGAAACAGAGAAACCGGGGAGAGACAAAAAAGTTGGAGGGGATTCCGTTAAAAAGGGAACGATACAGTACAAAGGAGATTCGCATAGCCCGCGGGCAAGGATGTCGTGCACAAATCGCGAGGGAGAGGCCGTAATTCAACTTACGAAAAGTGGAATCTGGGCCTTTGAAATTCCCGCCAAAATGGTGAAAATGAACGGCCCAGACTCTTCTGAACGTCCAGTCGAGCACGAAGTAGAATCTTGGCCAGAGGCAGACGTATATAGATCGATAGATAAGTAGGTAGGTAAGGAAGAGAGAGGGAGAGAGAGAGAGAGAGAGAGAGAGAGAGAGAGAGAGAGAGAGAGAGCGTGACACAGAGAGAGAGAGAGAGAGAGAGA